GGCATTTTCTTTAGGCCTATAAATGCAAACTCAAAGAGTAGTTTTTAAAATAACCATTTCCTTTTCTTATTATAGTATCGCTTAGAATTATCTACTCTATTGTAATTAATTGATCGATTGTCGGCCTCTCTCATTAGAAATCAAGGTCTTTGAAATCAGGCACTGTGGTTTATTCACTATTGTTTGCCTAATATGAAACTATTTGGACTCTATCAAACATCGTTCATTAAAAGTAATGCCAGGTGGGTTACAGATCTAAATGTGAAAGGAATACAAAACACTTTCAAAGAAAAATACAAGGGTATCTCCGTGCCCTTGGGATGAGTAAAGAATTCTTTAAAGGGACTCCGAAAGCACTGAGTATGAGAGAAAAATTCACAAATTGGACTTTATTGCAATTAAGAACTTTCATCAAAATATACCGTCAAGAGACTGAAAAAGCAAGCTACAGACTAGGTAGAGATATTTGTAATCCATACGGCACAAAAGAATTACATCCAGAATATGTAAAGCAGTTCTTAAAATTATTTATTTATTTATTTTTGAAACAAAGTCTCACTCTATCGCCCATGCCAGAGTGCAGTGGTATGTGATCGTGGCCCACTGCGGCCTTGAACTTTCAGGCTTAGGTGATCCTCTTGCCTCAGACTCCTGAGCAGCTGGGACTGCAGGTAGATGCCACCACATCTGGTTAATTTAAACTTTTGTTGTTGCTGTTTTGATGGGGTCGGTCTCACTCTGTTGCCCAGGCTGGTCTCCACCTTCTGGCCTCAAGCGATCCACCCACCTCAGCTCCCGAAGCACTATAATGACAGGTGTAAGCCACTGTCTCCAGCCAAAGCTCTAAAAATTATTAAACATGACAGTCAATCCTATAGAAATAAAACCTAGAGAATTGAACAGGTGCTTTACACAAAAGGCTACATGAGTCACCAATAAGCATATAAAAAATGTCCCACATCACTAGTCATGGGGAAATGCAGTTTACAATCAAATGAGACCTCATTGCTCCCCAACCAGAACTGCTGAGTCAACACTGATGAGCAATGGCAGCCCGTCGCAATGATGGGGGCTGCCTGAATGCTCAACCCTTGTTGGTGGAAACCTTGGCATGTGCAGCCCATGTGTGGTGGTTTCTCCTAAAATGGGACATACACATTCAGTATCACCCACAGTTCCACTCCTAGGAATCTATCCAACCAAAATGAGGACAAATGTTCATAAAAAGATGTGTACAAGAATGTTTATGGTGACACTCTTCATAACAACTCCAAAGGCAAAACAACCAATGCATATGAAGAGCAGAACGAGGACACTGTGGTACATTCAAAAAACAAGATTGTTTCTTTGCGATTTTCAAATGCAAACCTCATCTCAAGTGTGAAAGACAGAATAGTGGATGCTTTTGGGGAGGATAGTGACTTCTGGGGCATGGGAGTATCTGAGCTGCTAGCAATGTTTTATTTCCTGGTCATGGCAGTGGTGACACAGAGTTGATTGCTTTGTGAAAATTATTCACTTTTTGCATTTCAATTGTGCATATTCTTACGATGAGTGTGCTTTTCAGTGTGTAAGCTACACCAATAAAATTCCCTCAAATTATGTGTTCAATGGTAATTAAAATTCTGCAATTATTTTTTAAATAAAGAAATGACAATACTATGAGCAATCAGTTGAGTTGGATGTTGTCATGAACAAGAAATATGAGAAGCTTCACCCCGAACAAGAGTTTCCAACATTCTCTATTGCTCTGGAGCCACAGAGTGGGAGTTTCAGTGCAGATTAAATCCCACAGTCTGAATTTTTTTTTTTTTTTTTTTTTGCATTGTCATAGCTTTGTTATTTAATGAGGTATTGTGAGAATTCCTGCTATTCCTTCCATGGTTGTTATAAATGTTGACATTAAAAGACCTTATTGCAATAGTAAAATGAGCTCTACAACCAATGGCTGCCTGTGAGAGATAATGGGGCCATGACCTTATAGGATTTACCAGTCACTGCACACCTAAGTCATTAATTTGCTAAGCACTTTGTGCAATCCCAAATATGAAAAGTACTATATGAGCCAAAATTCTATTCTCTCCTATATGATGATTAATTGGCTCATAAAAGTACTATACAAGCCAAAATTCTATTCTCTCCTATATGATGATTAATCATGTTTGATTAATGTGATGTAAAATATCATTAAATAATTTAAATGCAGGTGTGTGGATTAAAGTTACTCTAGAGCTTCCATGACATCAACAGTGACAAATTATGTGCAAGTTTAAGTTTGCACAAGTGATTAATCTGCTATTCTGCAGTTAAAATTAATTATTATTAATTATTATGCTCATATTTACATGACTGGTTCAAAATATGGCCAACCATTAATGCACTGCGTTTGCACAAAGTTATTTTTAAACATAATCTTACATTCTTAATGTACAGCAAGTACAAAGAGTGAGAGAGAATTGGCTCAAAATTGTAATTTTAGCTGTTTTAGCTTCAGGTTTAGTTGGCTAATTTTTACAAACCAGCTGAGTTTATTAAAATATTTTATTTGTTCTGTCTGCACAGAGGCTAAATAGGATTGTATTATTCTTATAGTTAAGTGGACTAGTATATATGTTTCCAAATTTTATCTGTAATTATTGGCACAACTTTCTTTTGAACAATATATTCGGATGTTCCCATCCTGTTTCAGGAGTACACTTACCCAGGAAGTGAATGAAGAGGAGGCTTTTAGATGTCACAGAAGCAGAGTAGGAAGATTCTAGAATGAGAGAGCTGACAGCCACCTTAGAAATGAGGTGTTGCCTCTGTTGCCCTGCTGGGAGGGTTCACTTGAACCACTTCAGACCGATGGATATTTATCTTACTCTCCAGAGACAGAGATTTTATAGCTTGTGTACAATATGTGATGGTTAGCCACTCTTTGTTGTTTGAGAGTATGAGTGCATAATAAAAATAACTTTTAGGTAATAGCTATAGCACCCACAACTTCCATTTATTAGGTACCTATTTGGTTCTAGACCTTGTTTTTGGCTCTTTACATTTATTGTCTTGTTGAGATTTTAAAAAATTTTCTTTATTACAGTTGACAATACAGAAGCTTGTTTGTCTAAGGCCGTTATTGACGACCTGGCGAAGGACTTTTGGAAAATCAAATCTACACAGGGAAGAGCTAAGTGATGGGTATAAGACACAATCTATTCATGTAAATGCCCCCTCACTTTTCTTTCTGGGGGTCAAACTATCATATGTTTGTTGCTTACCTTGACAGGCCTAGTGACCAGGGTATACATTAAATGTCTTTTAGCCATTTTTGTTAAAGGTGATGCTTCAACTGCTTCCCATTCATACTTGTTAGTACTTATCCCTGCAGTGATACTCAGATATGAATGGAAGGTGAAGAGGAATGAAATGGAATATATAGTGTGATGGTTAATAATGAGTGTCAACTTGATTGGATTGAAGGATGCAAAGTATTAATCCTGGGTGTGTCTGTGAGGATTTTGCCAAAGAATATTAACATTTGAGTCAGTGGGCTGGGGAAGGCAGGCCCACCCTTAATGTGGTAGGCACAATCTAATCAGCTTCCAGTGAATGTAAAGCAGGCAGAAAAATGTGAAAAGGCGAGACTGGCCCAGCCTCCAGCCTACATCTTTCTCCCATGCTGGATGCTTCCTTCCCTCTAACATCGGACTCCAAGTTCTTCAGTTTTGGAACTCAGACTGGCTCTCCTTGCTCCTCAGCTTGCAGACAGCCTATTGTGAGATCTTGTGATCATGTAAGTTAATACTTAATAAACTCCCCTTTATATAAAATAGAATATATATATATATATATGTATGCTATTAGTTCTGTCCCTCTAGAGAACCCTGACTAATGCATACAGTGTGACATTTATTAAAACTGAGGTCCAGAGAGGCAGATAAAACCGAGATTCAGAGAGCCTACAGGCATGTAGGGGAATAACTAATAAATGAGAAAAATTACATTTTCCCTCTTTATTCTCTTTGTGTTTCAGCTTGGTTAATTTTCATTGACTTATCACACAATTTCACTAATTTTTTCCCTTGGCTGTATTGAGTTTATGATGGGTTTGTTAAATGCATTCTTCATCTATTATACCATTGGATTTTTATCTGTATATTTATTGTTCTATTTGACTCTTTCTTAGAAATTTTCATCTCTCTACTGAAATTCCTCATCTTTTCACATGTTGTCCACCTTTTCTATTACAGCCTTTAACAAATCTCTGTCTCACAGTTACATTTGGGCCACCTATGAGTCTGGTTCTATTGATCATTTTGTCTCTTGAACATGCTTTGTTTTCCCTCACTTGCTTTTTTTGCTCATCACTTTTAATTAATGTCAGATACTATGTGTAGAAGAGTAATATGAAGATTATTATTATTTATTCTTTGACAAGGGTGTCAGGGAGGAAATACACTTTCTGCTCAACCCTCATAAATTCATAGCTGGGACCCTTGTAATAAAACAAAGTTTAACAAAATAAAGATAAGCAGGTTTATTAATGTATACAGCACACATGACACTGGAGAAACCCCAGTGAAAGGTAACTTAAGGCAATGGCTTAGAAGTCTGACTCATATAACATCTTCAACCAAGAATAATAAATTTCTAGATAAATGAAAGGACAAAGAAAAACAGCCTTAGGCTTCCAAAGGCAGAAAATTGTGGGAAGGTGAATAGATGGGAAGAAACCCTTGGGGTAAGGTTTATCTGCAGATTCTCTGGTGCCATCTCTGGTTAATAATAGTTGTCTCCAGTAAAGGGGAATTTACATCCTGTCTTTAGGTAGAAAGCAAAGGACAGAGAGAGCTTTTCCTTCGTCTGCTGCTTCTTAATTGCCTTTAGCTCAAAAATACGTTTTATGTCAAAAGGCATATTTTGGAATGACATACTCTGGTTTCCTTCATGGGCACAGCCTTTCAGCTAGGCTGTTAATGTGGGAGTTGCATCAATCTAGTCTGCAGTTGAGCTGTGTTTGGGTCTTTTGTTGTTTCTATGGTTACCCTCCTTTTAGCACTGGCTTTGATTTCTACCGGAATCATCTTGGGTTTACGGTGAGACTAGAGTGATGGGGTGTTTGTTTCCAGGTCCTGCTGCACCCTCAGCTTCCAGCCTTCCATGGGTGAACCTTCTTTGCCACTCTGGGCCTCCCCCTCCTGGCCCACAGCTCTACTTCTTGCTCCAAGTTTGCTGGTCAAGACGTGGGGGTGAGCAGAGAAGGGACCTCTCCATGGTTCTGCTTCAGCCTCAGTCCTAGGCAGGCCCTAAGTGTGCCTGGGTCTCAGTGATTCTACCCAAGTCCTCTGACCTCTTCATGGCAGCCAAACACCACTTTGCATCTTTGGTGCCCCTCGTCCAAGAGGGAAGTTCCCGTGCCTCTCGGTGCAACGTCTTGGTAAAGCGGATTTGCCTGGGATGGCTTCCTCCCTCTCCCCTGGGGCTAGTGTCTTGTTTCTGTATCCTTCCTCCACCCTCTCTGGGTCTACACCTGTGCCATGGGGTGCCAGGTCTTGCCTCCCATCCCCCAGCAGCTTTAGGCACTGCACCTTGCGCCTTCCCCACAAGCACACCTCTGTCCCTCTGTCTTGCCAGCAACCCCAAAGGAGGGCCATGGAGAAGCACCTGCACGGGGTTTGGAACTCCTCTTGTGTCTGTGGCTCTGAGGAGTTCTGTGCTCTCACACGGACCCACATTGAAGCGTTAACACTGTGTTGAGGATTTTACTGTTCTGCTTATCTCCTTCTATGTCCCAGCTTCCCCTCCTGTGCCCAGGCACCGTGCTGCATCCCTGTTCTCTATGGGCTGCCCATCCTTCCTTAGATTTCAGGTTTCTTGGTTTTCTTGCCATCTCAGCTCTCAGATGGGCTCAAGAAAAATCATGATTTTATAGGTTACTTGTTATTTTTTTCTTATTTTAAGGTGGGAGCAATGTTTTTGCATCTTTGTATATCCTAGATAGAAGTGGAATTTATGATAAACAGCATTTTAACTTGGACTTCTCATCCAAAAGAATCTGCTATTTCCTCTCTTCCTTGCCTAGTTCCTAAAGGTGTTCTAACTGAACACAGTCAACTGCTAGAAAAGTTTCCACCTTATCCACCCTGTGCAGTCTGGAGCAGGTCTTTCTACCCTAGGACTAGAAATCTGTAGTGTGACCCTTGAATTCCTGATCACTCATCATCCTGCAGCCTTCATCTCTTTTAAATTTTTTTTAGCACACACATACAGTTTTACATAAATCTATAAATGTGATCAAAATATGTAATGAATTTTTTCTAAAAGCTATAATAATTTACATTTCAGTGGCCAATGTATGAGAATATCCACTTCCTGTATCTTGGCTAGAAATAGCAGTTACTTTTTTTCCTGTGTATAAAATGATAGCCTATTGTTACCATAATCTGCTTGTCTTTATTGTAAGCTTGAACATAATGTCATAAATGTGCTCCTCTTTAGCTATGCACTTCTGTGAATTGCCTTTTCACACTGTTTGCCCATTTTTCTACTGGACTATTTGTCCCCTTCAAGTGAATCTGTCAGATCGTCTTATGATTATATATTAACAATTTCCCCTCAAATAATTGTTGCTCTATTTACTTTTTTTGTGATACATTTTATCACACAATGATTTTATTTTTGTGAGCTGGGGAATGCGCATCATTTTTTTTATACAGCTTCTGAGATTCCAACCTTAGTTAAATGGTATTCTTAAGTCTGTAGCTTAAACGTGTCATTACCTAGAGTTGCACAAAGTGCACAAAAATACAGGCAGCTTTAAAGATCCAGTGCACAAAAGTCAATGGAATGAAGGTAACTCACAGGTGGAGTACAGGACCCTTGCCATCCTGCAGAGTTGTGGTTGGGCTGAGTGTACATGGATTCCCTTGTCACCTATATATGTACAGGGAATGGGTGCAGCAAATGCCTATTGTCAGAATCCAGGGAGCTCCAACATAGATCTAATGAAGCAGTTTCTTAATCAACTGCCAAAAGCAGAGAGGAGAGCTTTCAGGGCCATCTGAATTTGTCTCTCCTCACTTAGACTTTATTCCAAAACTGTGTTATTTTATTTTATTTTCTTGAGATGGAGTCTCTGTCTCCTAGGCTGGAGTGCAGTGGCGTGATCTCAGCTCACTGCAACCTCTGCTTCCTGGGCTCAAGAGATTCTCCTGCCTCAGCAGTCAGCAGGAGATTACAGGCGCTGGCCGCCACGCCCAGCTAATTTTTGTATTTTTAGTAGAGATGGGGTTCCACCACACTGGCCAGGCTGGTCTCAGGCGATCCCCCCACCTCGGCCTCCCAAAGTGTTGGGATTTCAGGCGTGAGCAACCGCGCCTGGCCTATTTTATTTTATTAATTCAAGTGTTTAATCACTTGGAATTTATTTTTATAGGAAGTGAAATAGTGTTCAAATTGTATATTTTTCCAGATGTGCAGCTATTTTTGCCAATTCTACTTATTAAAAGGTCTATCCATTTCTCACTAAATAGAAATGCTATCTTTATTATATATTCATGTCTCATATCATCTATTTAAATATCTCCCAGCTAACACCACATTAATTTTATTGTAATGGCTCTATAGTTTTTCTTATATCTGGTAAGTCAAATCTCTTCCTTCCTAGGCTTCTATTTAAAAATTTCCTGGTTATTCTTTGACATTTATTTTCTCATATAAATTTTATGGTCATATAATTCAAGTGAAACTTAATACAATAATTATCATTGTATATTACATTTGAAAAGTTTCACACTTTTATATCAAAGACTTCTCATTCTAGAATATTCTCTGTCTTTCCATTTACTCATATAATATGTTATATTCTTCAATAAGATATTCTATCATTTTTAATAAGGGTTCTGTTTCTTTCTTCTGAATTTCATTCCTTAAAATCTTATGCTTGTCTCACTATTATGGGAATTTTTTCTTATTTTTCTTTGTTTATATTATTATTCTAGAAAAAACCCTAATGCCTTTTATATATTTATCTTATATCTGTCTGCCTTACCTAGCTCTTCTGTTAATTCTAATTGTTTATATCATTTTATGGGTTTTTCTAGTTATAAAATAATGTCATAAAAAGAGACAATTTTATCTTTTGCAAACATTGTCCCACTTATGAAACTCTGTGTCTAATTACAATAAATAGATCTTTGAAGAAAATAGTGTTATAATGGTAATAGTAGTAATCCATGTCTAATTTATGATTTTAATCAAACTAGAGTTCGCACTTCATCATTTAGAAGAATAATTCCACTTGTTTTATAGAGATAGTCATTATTTTGCCCAAGCAATTCAAATCTACTTCTTCTATGTACACTTAAAATTTTACATAAGAATGGCTAACAAGGATTTTATTAAATATCTTTTTAACACTTTGTGTTAATTTTCTTTTTTAGGCTTGGATAATGGATCCAACGTGACCAAGGAGTGACTCATCCTTCTGCCTACTCCATGCCCACACCCATCCAGCTGAATGCGGCTGGGGGAAAATAAATAGACCTTAGGTAGCTCTGAAAGCTGTCCACCAATCAAACTATACTTCCATAGCCTTTTCCTCTCCCACTCCTCTTTCCAGAAACTTCCTACGCTTTTCCCCATTCCTACCCTTGGTCGATGATGTCACCTTCTGTTCCACAGTCTGAAGAAACTGCAGGCTGATCACCTGTGTTCGTCTCCACCCTCTCCGGCCACTGTCAGCAAGGCTGCCTCCCCTGCGACCTGTGCGTCCCCCTCCTCCCACTTGCTCAGGGACTGTGCTCCCAGCATGCCTTTCTCTTGCCCTGAGTAATCAATCTTCCCCACGAATATACAAATGTGCTGCTGTTTCTCCAAGGGCTGAAAAATAAAACCCCCTCTTTATCTTACTTTTCTGCCCCATTTTTCTGCCTTTCTTACAGAAGAAACCTTCCAAGCTGTCAGCGTTTACTTTCTCCATTTCCTGCCTTCCCATTATCTCTCTCTCTTCTTCTTCTTTTATTTTTTTGAGACAGAGTCTCCCTCTGTTGCCCAGGCTGGAGTGCAGTGGCCCGATCTCAACTCACTGCAACCTCCACCTCCGGGTTCAAGCAATTATCCTGCCTCAACTTCCTGAGTAGCTGGGGTTACAGGCATGTACCACCACGCCCGGCTAATTTTTTGTATTTTTAGCAAAAACAGGGTTTCACCATATTGACCAGGCTGGTCTGGAACTCCTGACCTCAAGTGATCCACCTGGCTCAGCCTCCCAAAGTGCTGGGATGAGAAGTGTGCTCCACCATGACCAGCCCCATTCTCTATTGAGCTCCCTCTGATTAGGATTCTGGCCTCTAGAGTTGCACTAAAACAATCCTTAATTTTGGAATTCCTCCTTGGGCATCTTCCTTTTCTATTCAAACTCCCTTAGAAATCTCATGTAATTTTACAGTTTTAGGTAATAACTCTATATTAGAGACTCCCAAATGTTTATTTCCAGACAAGACCTCTCCCCATCAACTCAAGTCCCATACATCTAATGCTCTATGTGATGCCATTTGGATGTCTAGTAGGTATGAGAATCTTGATGTCTTCAAATCAGTTTCTGATCTCTCCCCATCCTTACCCATACTTGTTCATCCGTCAGTCTTCCAGTCTCTCTTTATCATTCTTCCTTATGTAGACTTCTTCTCAAGCCCAAGTTCTTGAAGTCATTCTTACCATTTTTTTCTCTCCCCACATCACAAATTCATCCATTAAGATATCCTCTTGATTTTGTCTTAAAAAGATATCACATCATTTCTCACTATCTTTACCGTCACCACCCTAATCCAAGGTGCCAGGAACCTTGTCTGGATAATTGCAAAATTATCCTGATTTTTTCCCCCTCCAATACAGCAGCAAGAGTAATTCTGTTGAAAGGGAGGCCAGGGAATGGCTGCTATGGCTTCCTAAAAGGCAGGCTTACTACTGCCCAGGTGTACCGCATGATCTGGTTCCCCAGCCTCTCTGGTGAGCTCTCTTGTGCTTTCTCCTGGGTTTGTTTTGATCCAGCACACGGTCTTTCTCCCCTAGAGTCTGCTGTGTCTTCTCCCTCTGCCCCCAGCCATGCATTTCCACATAGCCAATGCTCTTTCATCTGTTTCAAGTTTTCAGTCATCACCTGAGTGATCTCAATTTCCCAACACACTCTCTGCCTACATTTTTGTTATTATTATTATTTTATTTCTAGAGACAGTTTCTCACTCTGTCGCCCAGGCTGGAGTGCAATGGCGCGATCTCGACTCACTGCAACCTCTGCTTCCCGAGTTCAAGTAATTCTCCTACCTCAGCCTTCTGAGAAGCTGGGATTACAGGTGCCCGCCACCACTCCTGGCTAATTTTTTGTATTTTCAGTAGAGACGGGGTTTCACCATGTTGGCCAGGCTGATCTCAAACTCCTGACCTCAGGTGATCTGCCCACCTTGGCCTCCCAAAGTGCTGGGATTACAGGCATGAGCCACCATGCTCGGCCTCTGCCTATGTTCTTTATTTCAGCTTTCATCCATTTCACTTACCACCACTTAACGTATTAGGTATGTGTTTTCTTCTTAGTTTGTTTCTGGTCTCTGGCTTCACACTAGAGTGGAAGCACCATGAAGGGTGGTGGAGACTTTTCTTTTTACTCTACTTCTGCATTTCTGATACAGAGAAAAGTACACAGAACATTTTAGGTGCTCAGCAACACCAACGCAAACTAATAAAATCAGATAAATAAAGGAAAATACTGCTGAAATAAAATTCCTCTTACTTAATAATTTTTTTCATCTGTATTCATAAACCAGATCTAGGTACAATTTTTCTTTATTGTTCCATCTTTATCAGATTTTTTAAAGAGCTATATTGCCTTTGTCAAATGAATTGGGGAGGCCTTTCATCTTTTTTTTCTAAGGCCTGGAATAATTTAACTTTGAAAAGCTCTCTTTCTTAAAGGTTATATAAAATTCATGTTACATAAACCTCAGCTGGGAACCCATCTGTTCTCAGTGCCTTTTTCAATGGTAGATTTTTAAGTGTCTTTTTCTAAACTCTCTTATGGTAACTGATGTATTTAAGTTTCCCCTTTCTTCTTGGGTGAATTTTGGCAACACATAGTTTGCTGGGAAATCATCCATTTCCTCTAAACTTTCAAATGTCTTGTCAGAAAGTTTCATATATATTTTTATGACTGCTTTAATCACTTCTGTATGTATGGTTCTTCCTTGTTTCTCTCTCATAATTTGGTTTATTTTTGCCTTCTCTCTTTTTCCTTTAAAGAAGTTCATGAGGCATTAATATAATTAAATTAACTTTTATTAGGATGGCCATTATGAACAAATAAGTATAACTGGGATGTTTTGGGTACATACCCGAAAGAAGTGAAAGCAGCGTCTTCAAGGGAAATTTGTACCTGGTGTTGACGGCAGCAATATTCACATTAGCTAAAATGTGGAATATCTGTCAACCAATGAATGGATAAGGAAAATGCAGTCAATATATACAATGGAATATTATTCAGCCTGAAAAAGGAAGGAAATTCTGACACAAGCTACAATATGGATGAGCCTTGAGGAGGTTATGCTGAGTGAAATAAGCATAAAGTATAAGTATAAACACTATATGACTTCACTTACATGAGGTTCCTAGAGTACTCAGATTTATAGAGACAGAAAGAAGAATGGTGTTTCCCAGGGCCTGAGAGTGGAGGGGATGGGGAGTTGTGTGATGAGGTTTAGAGGTTCGGTTTTACAAGATGAATCTCTGAGAGAAATGGTGGTGATGGCTTCAGAATAGTGTGAATGTACTTAGCGCGACTTGCAGGCTGATGGTGCACTTGAAAATGGTTAGGATGTTTTATGTCATTTGTACTGTCCACAATAAAATATTGAAAAAAATCATCACTTTGATATAAGAATTATAGTTGAATTTTTAAATTTTTGGTACCTTTTTGTTTTTAATTTTAGTTTTTAATATCAATTTACATTTCTTATTCATTTTTTGTTGGAATTTTTTAGATTCTTAGGATGAGGACAAACTCCCTTTGATTTTTTAGTTTTGTTGAAAATAAAGACGATATTTTATGTGACTTTTTCCCCCTCTCGGGGGACTGCTTTCACTTTGTTCTACAGTTTTAGATAGAGTATTCTTCATTACTAAAAGTTGTAATTTTTCTTTTGATTATATCTTCGAATTGAGTCATTTATTTGGGAATATGCTTCTTAGTTCCCAAGAGATTTTACTTTTCAGTCCCTTTATATTATTTTATCAGTTTATGTTCACAGAATAAGCTCAACAAAATTTTTATCCACACCTAGACACTGCTGTGGGCCCGGCGCCCCACACCCTGACCCCATCTGTATACTCCCCTAGAGGTCTGAGCAGAGGGGGCCTGAAGAAGCAAGCCACTCCCCCCGTCACACGCCCTGTGAGGGGGCACAAGGGAACCTCTTCCGTTTCACTCTCACTACGTAGACACACATACAAGGTAACTACCAAAGATAATACATAGAATAATTCGCTTCACTGTAGTAATCACTTGTTTTCATGTATATATACACACATATACACACATATATACATATATATACATATATACACATATACACATATATACACATATATACACATATATACATATATACACATATATACACATATATACATATATACACATATATACATATATACACACATATACATATATATACACATATGTGTGTGTGTGTGTATATATATACGAAAACATTATGTTGTGTACCTTAAATATATACACTGAAAGTACATAGTCTTGGCTGCCGGGGTCTCCAGGGTTGGTGGTATCTAGATTATTGTCCAGCCTATGGAGGGGAGAGTTCATGCCCTTTCTCTGCAAGTCTTTTCAGAGAAACTAAAACCTCACCAAATCTCATTCAGGGGCCAGGCCACGTCTGCCATTTGACACAGGAGACGATCCTGATTGTGTCCCATGGATAAAGCTTTGTGGGTGCTGTTTAAAGCTATGGGTCTCTTTTGTCTTCAGCAGAAACGGTGTTTCATTGTTTTCATATACTTCTAAGATGTTAAAAATACTTGAATATTTACACTAATTTTCAAACTTCTTTATGTTTTATATTAACACTCTCCACAAAAATAACACATGTACATACATAATATATAAACATTATATATCTTAGATGAAACCATTTAGATAGAACAAAAAATGTGTTCTAGACTAAATTTGTCCTCTGAACAAATTTTCCACCAGCTCTAGTCATTGCTGCATTTGGGATTCTCGTCATCCAAGGACTGGGTTTTACTACATGAAGATGCTCCTGTTGATATAAACTACTCAATGCAAACGTTTACCTGCGTGTCAGCACGCAGCCTCCCCAACTCGAACAACTCTTCACGGCCACGCGGTTACAACACACACTTTGGCCGAGGACCCACTTATTTTCTGAGATTGTTTCCCCATGATCCTGGGGCAGCGAGTTCGCGTGAGGCGAGAGGCGCCCTCTGCGGTACCAGATGCGCAGCGGCTCAGAAGGACTGTGCAGGGGAGCGCTGG